CCCGCCAGCCCCTCGGCCAGCTCCTCCACTCCCTGCAGGTGAGCCCCTGCCCCCACCGGGCCCAGGTGTCTGTCTGTCTGCCCACCCGAACCGTCCGTCTGTCTCTGCTCCCTTTCGCATCCCCTCCTGTCCATCTTCGTCCCTGGCCACCCACCCGGTCTGCCCGTCTGGCTCTGCCCTGTCCGTCCGTCTAGCCGTGTGTCTCTGCCCCCGCCTAGCCGCCTGCCTCTGCGCCCCCGTCTAGCTGTCTGGCTCTGCCCCCGTCTGTCCATCCGTCCAGCCGTCTGTCTCTGCCCCGTCCGTCCGTCTAGCCGTCTGTCTCTGCTCCTCCTGTCCATCTTCATCCCTGGCCACCCACCCAGTCTGCCCGTCTGGCTCTGCTCTGTCTGTCCGTTGTCTAGCCGTCTGCCCCCGTCTAGCTGTCTGGCTCTGCCCCCGTCTAGCCGTCTTCATCCCTGGCCACCCATCCAGTCTGCCCGTCTGGCTCTGCTCTGTCCGTCCGTTGTCTAGCCGTCTGTCTCTTCCCCCGTCCGTCCGTCTAGCCGTCTGTGTCTCTGCCCCGTCTAGCCGTCTGTCTCTCTGCCCCGTCCGTCCGTCCGTCTGTGTCTGCCCCCGTCCGTCCGTCTGTGTCTGCCCCCGTCTGTCCGTCCGTCTAGCCATCTGTCTCTGCCTTGTCTGTCCATCTTTGTCCTCATCCACCCATCCTGTTAGTCTGTCTGTCTCTACACCCGTCTAGCTGTCTGTCTCTGCCTCCAGCCATCTCTGGCCCCTCCCTGTCCATCTGGGCTGTCTGTCCGTCTGTCGCCCCAGCCCTCTGGTGATTCTGTCTGGCTTACCTGTCTGTCTGTCTCCGGCCATCTGTCCCTGCCACCCCCTCATCTCGGCCTTGTTCCTCCCTCCTCCTCTCCCCCCGGAGATGTGTGTATCTGTGCGTCCGGCCCGCTCCATCCCGGTCCGTCTGTCCAACCATCCACTGTCCATCTGGGCTGTCTGTCCGTCTGTCGCCCCAGCCCTCTGGTGATTCTGTCTGGCTTACCTGTCTGTCTGTCTCCGGCCATCTGTCCCTGCCACCCCCTCATCTCGGCCTTGTTCCTCCCTCCTCCTCTCCCCCCGGAGATGTGTGTATCTGTGCGTCCGGCCCGCTCCATCCCGGTCCGTCTGTCCAACCAGCCATCTCGCCCCACTCGACCCCTTCCATCCATCTCTCTCCCGTGCTTCACGGCCCCGGGTCTGGCCCGGGGGGCGGGCGGGGGCCCAGACGCGTGACCTATTGGGCCAATCGGCTCATGGTCCGTCCATCCCTCTCTCCTCCCCCCGGCAGGATTTCTACAGCCACACCAACTGGATTGAACTGGGACACAGCACGATCCACCCAGACCTGCTCCAACCCGGCCATGTGCTGGGCTCCATCGCCAGAGGTACCAGCCCCCTGCCCGGCCCTGGGACCCTCGCCCGCCCCTGCCCCTTTCTCCGGAGAGCCCCGTAACCCGCTTGTGGTTGTGGGGCGGGTTCCCTGCAGCTGTTAGCCGCCAAGATCGGGACCCCACCTGGCTAAGAAATTCCCGGTCTCTTTCTCCTGGGGAAACTGAGGCACGGGGCGGCACAGCGTCCGAGGGCAGGGTGGGCTTTGAGGATGGGACCCAGGCATCCGGCCAGATCCGCTTTCGGGCCCCCCCTTCCCCTTTTCCCCGTCTCTCCCGCAGCCGACGACCCGACGTGCCGGCCCTGTGTCGGGTGGACGTGCGAGGGGAACCTCCTGGACTCGCTCTGGCCACGCGGGCTGCTCACCAGCGGGTATTTCGGCACCGAGGCAGAGAAACCGCCCGGTATGGCTCTGGGGGGGCTGGTTTTGGGGAGGCTGTTCCCCACCTCTTCCCCGTTTCTCTCTGATTTCTCCCCACTCTGGGGGTGGGAGAGCTTGGCACCCCGATATTTTATAGGCACGGCCATGATTGGGGGGGACAAAGGCAGGCTGTGACCCCCCAAGGGAAGGGCTCAGGTGGGGTGAAGAGCTACGGATTTTGGGGTGCATGTGGGGTGAGTGCTGAGGCCGCTGGGAGGGATTTTAAGGGGGTTCGCCGATGTCTGGGGATCTGGAGCTTGCTGGGAGTCCTGGCTAGGTTGGGGGGGCAGACGGCAGGACCCCAGTAATTTTCAGGGGTGCTGCTGTGGGCAACAAATGCCATGCAGCTTGGGGTGAATTGGGGGGCAAAAAGGGGACCCCAATATTTTGTGGGGGACACGAAGGCAATTGAGGCAGCTGCCCCAGGTTGGGGGAGTCAGGGGACCCCAATAGTTTTGGGGGGACAGGTGTGAGGGGAGCAGGGTTGGGTCAGAGGGTGACCCCAGGGTGGGGGGGAGAAGAGG